TACTGTTTCTGTCTGTCCTTAAAATCCCTCTCTGTGTTGTACCTATTAACTATGTACTGTTTCTGTCTGTCCTTAAAATCCCTCTGTGTGTTGTACCTATTGACTATGTACTGTTTCTGTCTGTCCTTATAACCCTTGTCTGTGTTGTATCTATTGACTATGTACTGTTTATGTCTACGCTGATATACAAGATCACTTTTGTATTTTAGCACGTGATACTGTTTCTTTTTGTTCTTAACGACAGCATCACTTTGGTATGTCCTAACTTTGTATGCTCTAACTTCATCCTGTGTGCTGTCATAATGACGTTTGGATAATGTAAGTCTTTTCTGTCGGTAAAATGCATCAGTTCTATATCTATGTCTATGTGTCTGCAGTTTTCTGGCCCTATGCTCTGTACTGCTGGCATACTGCTGCTTTTCACGAAGGTTTTTTGTCCTTTGTAACTCAGCAGACACTGTTTCAGGTACTGATTTGTTTCTAATTCGACGAGCCGCTTTGCGACGGCGTTCTTTACTTACCTTTGTTAAACTCGGTGTCTTCAAAGTATGACCTATGTGTGCTGTGTGACGGACGGTGCTGGTGTGTGCGTGCTCAGCCAAGACCTGTTTAGCAGTGTTCTCTGCGGGCTGCGCGGGAACATCAATGTTCTGAGGAGGAACACTAGCTGAGGCTCGCGGTGGCTCATTGCTATTATTTGTGACTGGCTCAAATGAAACAGGCACAAATTCGTACTGGGTCGTAGCACCACGGTCTCTAAAAAGCGTGTCCAGGTGCTGGACCAGCTGACCCAGGTTACTGAAAGTCAGCATCACTGCAGTTCCACCATAGAGGGGCAAACCTAAGGAGTTTCTTGAGTGTGAGTCGAAGAAACCGTACCTCCCTCTTCCATCACGGAAGACGGCAAAACACTCAGGGGCAACTATGAGTAAGGCACAGCTGACTTCTTCAGCCAGACACTCAAGACATGTGGCAAGGGGTAACCACCACTGCTGTCCGTGAGGGCTGTGTTCTTCAGCCCTCAGAAACCCTATGCCGATGTTTCCCTTCTGAATGTTGTACGTGTGTCTGTCTGTGTGTATCTGAGGTGGAATCTCTTCTACGGCGAGGTTGTCGGATACGAACCGTCCCTCTTGAATGAGCTTCATCTTGGCCCATATATAAAGCGAATCCCCTTGTTCCAGTACCTTATCCAGCTCTGCTGTGCTAAAATGGACTCCCTCAGCGTGGTATGCCAGGAATGTGAGGGAGTTGCAGGTGCACTGGTGATTCCTGGAGAAGCGCTCATACCTGCTGTCACCCTGAGAATGAGAGGCCCTCACAGCCCGGCCTCGTCTGTACGCCTGTCCCAGGGCGGTTTCAGGCGCAGGAGGGGAGACTCTCTCCTCCTGAGGTGGCAGGTCAGCTGTTGGTTCACGCTGGTAGAAAGAGAGAAATAACTGGTTAGGCTTGTGAAAGACAATAGACAGACTAAATAATACACACGAGTAGTAAGAAACCAAACCAACCCTTGGACTAGGAAAATTAAAGTCCATAGAGCCAATCTCCATTGGGCTGTAACAGCTGCAGGGGGAAGAGCTGCTGGTCATCTGAAATTACATTAGAGCAGAATCAGAACAGCTTCAAGCTATTTATTTGTTTTTTTCTGAAAACATGTATGCATCACACACCATTTTTAAGATTAAAAGCTGCATAAGGTGCGTACCTGGTCAGGTGAAGGAGGAGAAGTGCTCATCATCCTGGACATGTCAGAACGCGGAGGGGTCTGAAACCTGGGAATCTGGAGTAGATGGATTAATGGGTAAAAATCCCAGAAAATCAAACTGGGACAGATATGATAAAAGGTTTAAGCACCAATGTGAACATGTGAGTAGAGGATAAAAATACCTTCTGTGCTGGTGAAACTGTGGGAGTGGAGGCTTCCAGGTCTATCCTGAAGGGTCTCGGTGGTGTAGAAACCTGCACGAGGACCAATGTCATGAACAGGAAGTGTGAAATAGAAAAGCGCAGACTGCAAACATGTTGTGAAAGGAAAAATACCTTTCCGGCCACTATTTGGGCCCAGGAGGGAGCTTCTTCCACCGGGGATGTAGGCATCGCTGTAGTGGCAGGCGGAGCCGCCGTCGTTGCTAGGGGAGACGCCTGGTGAGACAAAGAAGAAGGAGTTAGAGTACTTACCTGATCAGGGGATGGCTCAGAGTGGTCAGGTCTGGCCTGCCGTCCCCTGAAACGACGAGCCCGACGTTCAGCTCTCTGCAATGACAGAAGTGTGTAAAATATGTAAAATGTGATGAACAGAGTGTGAATAACATGATACAACATTAGAGAGAAACCCGTCATGTGGATAATCTACTAGTTAAATAAATGAAGTGGAACATGTTTCTCATTAGGTATCAGCACCAACCTTCTCCTTGAGCGCTCCTTCCATCACAGCAGCAGGAACAGCTGGTGTCGGTGACACCTGGAAACAAAATCCACTCACATTAAACCACGCACATTTTACAGTAACTTCTGGTCAAAGTGAGGCTGAAATGGACTAAAGGCATTCCAGACCTGTGGCTGGGCACGCCTCCTCTTCAGAGCAGCAGGTCTCCTCCCATGTTCCACAGGCGACGCCTAACGGTGGAAAACACGTTAGGTCAATTTAGTTAAGGAAAACCCAACTATGGATCCATCCCTCATCCTCCCAACAATATCAGTCTGATGGAGTTTATGCTGGACTCACCCGATCGCCTGCAGGAACACGAGCACTGAGGGCAGAAGGAACCAGCTTCTCCATGGCCGTCAGGATCTCAGGAGAGAACCTCTGAGGATTCAGGGGCAGGAAGGACTCCCCTGAGGCCACAGCACCTGCCTCCACCTGTCAGAGGATACACAGAGATTAGACAAAGCCACAGAAAATAATACTCAGTAAATATTGTCAAACCATCCTCCCTCTGGATGAAGAAAAGACAGCTCAGGTTCCCCTGAGAGGCCACACTGAAATACCACAGTGCATAAAAAGGCTCACTTCAATGACACATTCACTCATGTGCTTCAGGTTAGTTCTTACCTTGGCAGCAGGTCCCACCACAGTCCACTCC